TTTAAGACTACCATTCACAGCAAGCTTTACTAATGAATGGAATTAAGAATCTCAAAGTTGAAAAAACAATGATTCACCCAGAGTTATCCTGTAATCAGTGGTAAAATTCCTTAAAATACTGGCTCAATTTCCCTTTTCCTACAGTAATTCTCTTACTTTCTTAAAAAAGGTTCTTTGATTAGAAAAACTGTGTTTGTTAAAAAAAAAAAAAAGATAGGTAGAAAATAAGGTAAGATATGTTCATAGTGATTAAAATATTCTTTATTTTTCCATTTTAGCTTCAAGGTTTTAAGAAATTTTAGTATAAGCATCTTTTACTGCTCCTGATTCCCCAAAGGCCTGGCTATCCAAGGGACTAGAACCAGTCCTTATAGCAGCAGGGCAGTAGTAAAAACAAAGAGGGAGGGAATGATAAGACAGCTAGGCACAGGGAGAGGGTTGGCATTGTCTCATCTAACCCAAACAAGGGGCAAACACCCAATGCTGCTTTGCTGGTTAGCAAGAGATGAATTTTTTTCCTACTGCTTTCAGACAAAAGTGATTGAGAATAGAAGGCTCAACATAAAAAAGAAAAACACTTAAGATTTATTTCAATATGGGGATGCTTTTTGTAGTCATGATTTCAGCTGAGACATAAAATGAGAGAAAACACCACCTGCATATACAAACTCTGTTTCTCTATAATACCTAATATTTCTTGTTAATAAACATGATTTTAAGCTGTTTTTCTAAATCATATGTGGTATAACCTTATCTTTTAAGCCTCTGTTACATTTCACTGAAAATATAACACTCTCCAAGAATAACGTGGCAATCCATTTATAAAATACACTGAACACCCCAGGGGATAACAAAAGGTGATTTTATCACACAGGAAATAAAATTAGTCTATTCTGACCCATATGGCCATCAACAAAGTTAAATCACTTCTCACTTATTACTATATTCTTAGCTTTTTAAATAAACAATTTACAGGTCATAAAAATTTCAACTCTTTTTATAAAAATATCCGAACATTTAACAACTCTCTCAAGGCAGAGATTTTAATTGAGGCATTCCCTCAGTTTCACCTCCTGTGAGGGAGGATTTCCTTTGAGACAAGTAAATGTAACATTATCCAGTGGATCCTTGTGCTGTCTCTTTAAAGACCAGGCAGGCAGAGGGCAAATTTTTAAGGTATCATTCTGTCATCTCAAACTCTCAATAACATTCCTGTAGGCTCCCCTCCCTCTTTCCAAACTAAGTAATCCCTGTGTTTATCAACTTCAAAAAACACAAATGACTTGTATAAAGTTCTATGCATATTCCTTGGTTTTCAGTGACCTTTTGGATCAAAATTAAAGCAGGTATCTGCATGAACAACTCCACTTCTTTCATAATCTCTACCTTTCCTAATATTTGTTTAAAATTCTACCTGGCATCCTTCATTTTGGATGAACAGGGGTCTACAACTAAATATACTTTCACTCTCACTTTGCTTTTATTTATTTGTTTTAAAAGTAAATGTATCTATTTTTTATTTTTGGCTGTGTTGGGTGTTCGTTGCTGCGCACGGGCTTTCTCTAGTTGCGGCAAGTGGGGGCTACTCTTCATTGTGGTGCGAGGGCTTCTCGTTGCGGTGGCTTCACAGGCTCTAGGCACACGGGCTCAGTAGTTGTGGCTCACAGGCTCTAGAGTGCAGGCTCAGTAAATGTGGCACACGGGCTTAGTTGCTCCATGGCATGTGGGATCTTACCGGACCAGGGCTCAAACCCGTGTCCCCTGCATTGGGGAGGCGGATTCTTAACCACTGCGCCACCAGGGAAGTCCCTCACTTTGCTTTTAGAAGGGCATGAAACTGCAACACAGCAATAATTTTACATAGGTATCCAAAACTAAACAAGATTTTAAAAATTACATATCTTCTATTATTTCTAATCCCACACTAAAATTCATGTTTTACGAAGTTAGGCTCCTAGTTGAATCAAGATGCGATAGTCTTTCTTAAAATGGATCAGTTCTCGATTGTATGAGAAGACATGGAGTCTGTAAAATGCAGGAATACTCTGCAGCTTCCTAACATCCTGGTTATACTTACTCCCCTTACACATATTTCAGAAATCAGTCTCTCTGACACCCACATTCACTACTGCTGAAAAGGCAGAAAACACTCTGTTCATTTAGCATTTTTACTTCCCTTCATCTTAAGGGCTTCCAAAAGGAACTGGTATAATGCTGGACAAGGGGATAAGCTCATGGTCCAGGAGACGACAGACTCAAGAAGAGCCAAGGGGAATGGAACACCAGACAGCCTGGCTTCACCACACACATTAGCATCTCGAACAACCACGTTTTAAAAAGATGAGCCCTACCACTGTTTAAACTTAGACTCCTTGTGTCCTTTCCACACTAGATGCCTTTAAGGGTAAAGAGCAGATCTTAGGCAATTTGTGAGCTCCGTGTTCTCATCAGTTGATCTGTAATTAGAACCTGCATCAGCTTGAAAAGGTACGTAGCAGCTAAAGGGATTAGTAACCCCTCAGGTGCAAACAAATACCTTCAGGCACACTAGGTCCAAACCAGTGCAGTTTTATAAAATGCATTCTTAATGTAGCTCCCGAGGACACACACTGTAGAAAAGGTGGAGCAGGCGAAACAGCTTTGAGTTCACTTTTAGCCTGTAGTTCAAGAAAACCACACCATGGGTAACAAAAGCAAACCAGCAATCTCGCCCACTCTACCCACCGCCATATACATACACAGACACAAAGAGAAGTGGACTGCAATGCTCCTCCTAGGCTCTCATTTCCACAGAGTTCTTACATAAAGAGCAATGAGAAAGACAGAATATCCTGAACCCTTGAGGTATGGTATAGTTGGCAATAAAGGGGTTAAGCAGCTCTACTTTCCTGGAAACTTTCCAATTCCTAGCCAGGAATGCAATTCTCCTCACTACCTGTGTGTGCTACATATTTTTAAAAAATTCAGCAGATTAAGAGTGAAGACCAACACCTCAGAAAGAAAAAGAGAACTTGGTTCAGCTGTACCCTCTCTAAAGCAAATACCAACGACTCTGAGCCAAATCCACTCAGCATACACAAGATTCCACGGACATGCCAAAAAACAGGTGAAAAGAAGTTGAATTTCCTCAGGTATCTCACCTTTCAGCCCCACACACTTAGTAGAATTTACAAATCTGTGAAACACGTAAGTGTTAGATAAAACAAAAGCACATGTAAAATTCCATTTAGAACCTGAAAAACATTTACAAGTCACAGAGGTCACTATAAATCAGCAAAAACAGCTGGTATTTGGGTGAGGAAGGTCAAAGGGTAACCATGGAAACAAAAGCAAAACAAAATGATACATAAATAGAAGAAATATGGGCCTTAAAACTTAAGGCTTAGAAGGAAAGCTCCCTAACTAGAAGTTCATGCTTATCCTAAAGAAACATAGGGAAATATTGCTTTGGTCACCATAGGGGGAAAACTGTCACTACTATTAAACCTACATTTCTGGGGGAAAAAAGATGTTCACCAGATAAAAACACAGGCAGTGACTGACAGACTACAGTCACAGGAAATGACATCCAGAAGCACCTGTCTTGCTAGAAATAGGTAGGAAGAGATGAGTCACTATTTTAATTCTGTTTAGTGCTCTCCACATTCCAACCCTCTAGGTCCCAAAGCAGCATTATCCTTTTTCATCACTTTCTCAGTTTTCTTCCCAGACTTGTGGAGTTGGGTCCGAACGCTAAGGGGTGGGGATAAGAGAAAAGAGAAAGAAAGAGGAAAAAGTTAGAAACCTTTTGGTTAGTAGAAAAAGATACTGGGGTGGCAGAGTAATTACCTGGGAGAGAAGACTACATTACAGTTACAACTAGCAAACGGTTATTAAGATCCAAAACTCCCTCTCTTGGACAGCGCCCCCTATCTTTCAAAGCTTCTACAGTAAAAAGCAAACAACTCCCTGGAGAGAGGAGTAAAAAAGAAGATGCAGTGTGTGCAAAGGTAATGAGATACCACAGTGTTACACGAATATCAATATTCTTTCAGATTGGAATTGGCACCTGATGAAAGTCAGACTCTTCTACAGGTTGGAAAAGGGTTGTCAGTAGCCTTGGGGCACAGGATGTGGCAGAAGAGCTGAAGAGATAGTTATCATGGGAATCGTACAAAAGGCAATTCCCTTAGGTACGCACAAACTTCTTGGCCTTTTAGCCTAACTTCCTCCCCATGGGGGAGGGTGATCACCGTCCTAAGAAGGGCATATTCATGAGAGAAGTTCGAACCCCTTGATAAGTGATAAGCAACAGGGCAAAGGGGCAGGTTCTCTGTCTAAGGAAATACTGGGAAGCCAACTACCGTCATGCCCAATGACCAGAGTAACTGGGCAGGTACCCATTCCTGCAGCCGCAAGGACAAACGTCCAAGGGAGGAGGGAAGGCAGGGCCCAAGTCAGGTAACATTCCTGGGGGGAAGGATTATCAGGTGACACTGGGCTGAGGGCCCAGAGAGGAGACTGGGCGGGAGGAAAGTTAGCAGGTGAAAGAGATCAATCTTGGGCAAGGAAGTGACCTTTGGAGAAGCAAACAGGAGGATACCAAAAACAGGGGGAAGGGTAATAAGAGAAAATGGACCCCGAAAAGCACACAGGATCGGGATACAGAAGGCGTGTTCGGGTAACGGAGAAAGAAGAAAGGAAGTGGGGCTGAGAGGCAAGAGATGGGGCCGAGACCGGCCAGGGCTACGGGGGCTAAGAGCAGAGCGTGCGGGCTGGGGGATGAGGAAGCCCCGAGGTTGCCGGGGCAAGAGCCAGTTGGGACTCCGGGGCTCCGGGAGGTCCCGGAGCAGTCGGAGGTTGGGCTTCGGAGCCCAGAACCGAGCAAAACGAGGAAGGGAGGCGCGGGGTCGGCTCCCTAGAGACTGGCGTGCACCCCTGGGGCCGGCTGCGGAGGTCTCCGGGGTCCGGAGGGCGGTTACGGGGCCAGGCTGAGGGAACCGGGTGGGAGGGACACTCACAAATTTCTTGGGTTTGCCGCCGTCGCCGCCCGCCGAAGGCAGCTCGTCCGGGCTCCGGCCCTTCTTCTTGTCCCGGGTCCCGCGGCCGGGCCCCGGGCCCCCGCCGGGCGGCTCCATGTCCAGGTTCGCGCTGCTAGTGACCCCGCGCCTACGCCGCTCCCGCCCGGCAGCTCCAAGCCCGCCGCCGCCGCCGCCGCCGCCCAGCAGCTCCTCGGCCAGCCGCCGCGCCCCGCCTCATTAGCATGCCGGGCTGCGCGCGCCTCATGAATATACAACCGCGACGCCTCGCTCCCGCCCGCCTGCCCCACTTCCGCCCGGACACGCAGCCCCTACCAACGGAGGAAGGGAGGGGGGGTGGAGGAAAGCCGCGGAAGCGCACTACCTGCCTGGCGGGCCTAACCATTCGGACCCACGTTGGGGGGGTGATGGTGAGTGGGCGGTGCAACTCTCCCGGACAGCGCCCCCTGGCGGTTGGAGCGGCGCAGGCCTCCCTGCTCCCACGCAGTGCCCACGTGGCTGTAAAGCCTGGACCCTCTCACACTCCAGACCAGGATATTATTATCTGAACCAAAAATCGCATAAGAGAGACTGTTATCTTTGCAGAAAATTTAGTGCCGGGCTTTCCAGGATAATATAGTTTTTATGTGTTCAATACCCATGGAGCACATGAAAAAATAAAGTGATAGCTACCATTTATTGAAAGCTATGTACCAAGAACAGAGCTTGGTCCAGGGCCAGCGCTAGACTGAAGTCGACTAGCTCTGGAGTTAGATTACCTAGTTCTAAATCCAAGGTCTACTACTTTCCATGTTTCTAATCTGGAAAAACTAGTTATTGCTACAGTGTGCCTGAAGCTTAATAATAGTTAACCATTTACCATACACTTGTTCCATGCCAGACTCTATGCAAAAACACTCTACACCTGTTTTCTCACTGAATCCTCACAATGCCATGTGATAGATTCCACTAGTCTCACCATTTTAAAGATAGGAAATTTGGACATCGACAATTGAAGTGACTTGCCCAGGGACACATAATGAAGTGACAAAAAACTTAAAACCAGGTTCGTCTGACGGCCAGGCCCTATATTTAACCAGGATTCCCTACTGACATAAACCAAACCTGAGTGAAAAAAACAGGCATTCTCCAAAAGTGTGTTCTTTGCTCTACTAGCTTGATTCCTCCCTCAGTGATTTCATCTATTCCCAAGAATAGCTACATCAGTCCCTTGTGTGAAAAGCCTGTGGTACCCAGTAAGTCCTCAAAGTCTGGACTTATCTTTCCCACAACTGGCAAAAGATTTCAACTGCATGTTCCTGGAGGGCAGTCAGTGACTCACTCATTAGGGAGCCCAGTGCTCAGTCTAGGGTCTGTTATTTTACAAAGACTCTGCCAAGCTGGCTGGCTCCTAAATCTGACCTTCATCTCTTACCTTCCACTTTCTAATTGCCTGATGGACAGTTGCACAGAGTTGTCCAGCCCACACTTCGAAATCAATTTGTCCAAAACAGTTCAAAAGCTACTTACTTTCTATGCTAGTGTTGAGAAACGACAGGATCAGAGCATGGAAGGAGTGATCCAGGTATTACTCTTCTTTCTTGTACCACTGTCTACATCTACTATAGCATTTATCTTACTCCCTAATGGGGAAGAGTCCATGTTTGTGGCTACTACAATATCTAGCATCATTCTTCACATAGACAATGAAGATAAGGAGCAACTGCTTATGTCAGTCACCATTTTATCTCAGTGTATCCTCACCAACTAGCATCACCAATCCCAACACCCAGGTTCAAAAACCTGAAGTCATCTTCTACTCCCTCTCTTAAGCTAGTAATCTGCTCAGGTTTGTCTAACTCTTAACTAAAATGCTCTCTTAACTCCCTATATATGAGTAGGACAATCCATGTAGAATACATATATACAGGTCCTAATGTAAGCTGAGTGCTGAATGAATGTTAACTACGATTTTTATTATATACATCATCACCCCATTTCCTCTCTCTTCATACACAGGCAGCTAGCAAGAATTAAGAATATTCCCAGAAAGGCAAAAGGTACAAAAAATACCAACTTGGTTTATTGAATAAAAAGGGTGGTAAAATGGACATAAAGCCAGAAGTTAGGACAGGACATTTTCACATCCTCCCCGATCTCAAAACTGCACTTCCCATCATCTGGGTTAAGGTGTTAGGGAGCCAGAGCCCCCTAAAATCCCTTACTCTTCACCTGCACTGGAAACAAGGCCTGCATTAGGAGAACCCAGGAGGAAGTCAAAGGCAACCTTACTCCTGTCTACCCCCTCACCCCTAAAGTCTCTGGGTTAGAGGGAAGTAGGGAAGGAATAAGTGAGCCAGAAGGGCTGGGACTGGCCTCTAGGGCTCACCGCCCAAGATGTCCTAGAGATGGCTATCCTTGTCCCCATCCAATCCCTAATAGGTACCATTCTCAGACCTTGGGAGGGAGAAGAGAGGGGATAGTTGGTTCCAGAACAAGATGTGGTCTCCAAACCCTCCCCCAGCGTTGGTAAAAGCCCTGAGAGTAACCTGACCAGGGGTGGAAGAGCCACACCTTTTCCCTCCCACCCAACCAAGAGGTAAAAAGGAATATCTGGGGACACAGCAAGCCCAGCCACTCTTAAATCTCCACGTCGCTTTCCTTGTCATTGTCATGGTCTCCATCATAGAATTCATTGGGTGCCTCTGGCCTACAAAGCAAGGAAAGAGAGAAAGAGAGGTCAGGTTCCCACTCTCCAAGTTCCAATCTTCTCCCACATAGGTACCCTCTCTGGAGCCATTTCTCAGGCCCCCATTGTCAGGGAACCACTCCTCTCCTTCTGCTGGTGGAGACCGACTGCTATTCATTCATGCATTCATATAGTCAATAAACATTTACTGACAGACTGCTCTGTGCCAGACACTGTCATAAGCCTTAGCAGTAGAGAATCAATCGGACAAAATTTCTGCCTATCCTCAAAAAACTCACCGAATAAATGAGACTGACAATAACTAACAAAGTAAAAACATAAATATGGTAATTTCAGATGGTGGAAAGCACTATGAATAAAAGGAAATAAAGGGATGTGACTGAGCGTGATGGGAGGAAACAGGTAAAATTTCAGATAGGATTATCAGGAGAGGCTGTTCTAACAAGGTAAGACCTGAAGTCTGAGAAGAAGCTGGACAGGCAAAGACATCAGGAAGACCATTCCAAGCTGCAAGAAAAGCAAGTACAGAAGTTATAAGGTGGACGGAGACTGATGTATTCCAGTGAGAAAAGGAGGTCAAGATGGCTAGGGGAAGTGTGCACAGACGATGGTCATTAGAGATGAGACCAGGGACATAGGTAAGGGCCTTTTAAAGCATGCAGGGCCTTTTAAAGGCACCGTCAGAAATTTGGATTTTCTTCTAAGTGCAATGGAAAGGAGCATTTTTATCAGAGGAGTGATATACTATAAACCTGTAGTGAGCAAAGGGATGTGAAAGCAACACAAGGTCCCATAAGTACTCAATACTGCTCTCTTTCTTTTTGGAAAACTATTCTCTGGGAGAATATGTATAACTGAATTATCCTGCCCACGGCTGATAACTGAGAAAGAAGGAAGAAAGTCATCAAAGAGAAGCCAGGGAACAAAGTCAGGAAAGGCCCCTCTGCCTGGAAAGCAATGTCTCAGTTACCTCTAAGTGCACAAGGGTTAAAGGTGAGGAGTCAGAGACTCGAGTTTGAATCTCAGCCCTGATATTTAGCTAGCTGTGGGACTTTCAGAAAGTTATTTAGCCTCTCTGAGCCTTAGATTCCTCTTCTGGTAATTTAAGAATAGCGCCTCTCAGGGTTGTCTTATGGCAAGAGACTGATGGCAGGATGACATTGTATCATGTATGTTTTAATATAAAGCACTCAGTAACAGTCTGCTGCTTAGCAAACCCACAAAAAGTGGTAAAACTTATTACTACTCTGCAAATGATATGCAAGCTGGAGCTACAGGCATCAAAGAAAAGGAGCTCAGTGGGTGGTCTGATGGTAGGGCTTAGGACAGGAAGAGGCCTGAGGCTTCTGCTGGCTCTTGAGAGCAGGCTGTATAATGCAGAAACTAGGCCCAGATACCAGCCTGGAACTACAGATAAAAATAAAACAAACTTTGCCAAAAGGAAGAACTTAAAAACAGATTTTTAAGAAAATCAATTTCTAAAAGTCAAGCCCCAGAGACCTGGAGAAGTTGAGAAGGAGATGAGGGGTCAAAAAGGATCCCTGAGGCCAGATGTTCAGATACTTCCTCAACCAAGAGAGAAAATAAGGGGTTACTCATGGAGGAGAAGGGTTGGAGTGGTCCCAAGGGTCTAAGCAGTAGAGCCCAGGTCCAGAGGAGAGATCGGAAAGCCTGAACTCTAAGAAAGAGAGAAGATTCTGGAAGGGACTGAGAAGCCCATCAGACTCTGCAGCAGAGCCAGATCAAACATCTAACAGTGCATGGGAGCAGGACCAGGTGTCCTACAAGCGTCCAGCTGTGGTTATCCCCCAGTCACGTAAGGAAATCTGTTCTCTATTAAGTGCATCTGTTTCTGCACTTCTGGGTTCTGCTGTTTTTTCCCTTCATTTTTCAGAAAAGCCTGGTTTGGGGTTTTTTAAAAAGTCCATTCTAGTCTTTTTTCCCCCCCTATTCAGTGCATCTGTAAATATTTTAATATGTATCTCAGAAAGGTAAAGACATAAAAACACACACACGTACATAATACAACTGAGAAAATTAACAGAGGAAAGAAATCTAAGGGCCTTTCAAGAGCAGTACATGGGCAGTGACCTGTCCAGCTTAGAATCTGGAAGGAGTGAGTAAAATGCTGGCAAGAATATAAACTGTTACAGACTTTATGGAAGGCAATTTGGCAACAAATAAAAAAATTTTTAGCGCACACGGCCTTTGACCTAGCAACAACAATTCCAGGAATCTCACCCACTCAAACAAGCATGCAAAGATGTATATGGACGGGGATTCACTTCCATACTCTTTGTAATATGGATAAAATGGGAAATAATGTAAATGCCTGTCGATGGCGCTTGGTTAAATTATGCTACATCCACACAATGGAATATTATACAGCTAATAAAATAATGAAGCAGAT